TGTAGAATCACTACTTGTATTCTCTGGAAACACTATCTTTTTTTATATTTACAGGTATTAACAGGATTTTTAACCTAACCAAATAGACCAAATCTTAGCCACCATGACATATTTAAGATGGTTTTCTTAAGCTGGCATCTTAGAAGTACAGAAGATATGCTCTGCTCCCCATATGTCTAAACCATAATCTGCAAAGGCTCAAAAATGCCTCAAATGAACTGAAATGCTTCATTTAGATGGCTTTTTAAGACCCCCATGGCAGACTGTGAACATGTCTGGTTTGCTCTGACAGTTGTTGTCCAAGGCCTTGAGTCCCTGGTGAGACAGAGTGCACAGAAAGAGCACGGGTCAGGCGTATCGCACAGTGCTTTAGATACAGTATCTCTTCAACATGGGGGGCTGAGATTCAAACCAGATCTATGTAACCTTAGAGCTTTAACTATTTTCCGTTAGTTCTCTGTGTTTTCCTGTGTTGCTGAATTTGATGAGTAGTTTTCGACATGTTGAGTCTCAGGCATCTTGAGCACATACTAGTGGAGATGTCCAGTGGGAGTTGAACATACAGAACTGGGCTTGGCAGAATTGGTGCTAAAAGTGGTAAGTGAAGTCATGAGCTCAACTAGAGAGTGAGAAGAGCATTGGGGGATAGCACTGGGCCACCCCACATCTATGGAAGGCGGAGGAATGGCCGGTGCAGCCAGGGAACACTGCTTCCTCTTTTTCCTGTATTTTTCAGTTCCTGGCACTCCAGCAGCAACTGTAGAACCCTCTGAGAAGGGAAAAATGAGCCCAGAGACAAACCTAGGCGCTGACTTAGGAGTAATGAAACCTGGATTCTGGTACTACCCCTTTCTCCCTCTCCCCACACCCACCCACCCACTTCTCTCTTTTGCATCTAGAACCTTTCCCAAAACAACACGAAGGTTGTAAGTGCTGCCAGAGGTCTAGGGAGGCAGTTCCTGACAAGCCCAAAGCCTGCAGCAGGGCTAGGCTGGTAAGCCTGTTGTCTCAAGTAGAAGATGAGGAAGTTAGTAGCTGATAGAGGATGACTCTTGTACTAGAGAAAAACATCTGTCTTTAGCTGTGGCCCCTCCATGCCCTCCTTGGGAGCTCTTACTCTTTGCAGGTCTTTGTTCTTACCTCTGTGATCCTGCCTGGCAAGCCTCAGTCGTTTTGGTTTTCAGTTTCACCAGCAAAAGAAAGGGAGAAGCAAGCGTCAGGTTTCTTCTTCCTTTTTTCCCCTTAGGCTGGGTTTTTGTTCAAGCACTCAGCCCAGGTGTAATTTCAGAGCCCTCCCGTATGTGCTGGGAAATCTAGGAGAGGCCAACAGGTCACTTGTTTGGGGATCAAGCTGAGGAAACCAGCCATAGACCCTGGTGACACCTGGCAGGCTAGTTCTTCCTGTGGGGTCCAGGGAGTAGTTTTCCCGTGCTTGCCTCCTGGGAGGTTTAGTAACAGAGTGCTGCTCTCAGGGATTTGTGGTATGCTTTTTGTTTTTGTTTTTGTTTTTGTTGTTAGCAGAAAAGAGTGGTCTTCAAAACTAAGTTATACTACAGTATAAAATTCTTCCTTAGAAGTATTGAGAAAGATGATTTTGGTATGTTTGTACTTACAACTTGTCTTATTATCTGCTGTACCGAATTCTTGATGCCCTTTCAGACCTTGGAGACAAAGGTTACCTTTATAAAGGTACTGCAGCCATGAAATCAATCCCAGGAGAGTACTATTTATAGTACTGATGAGATTGAGGGCAAAGGTGGTTTAAACCTGATAGACTCTTAGGGTAAGCATTCTTTCTCCTTTTCCTTTCTCACTCCTGGTCAGCAAGAGGGACTCAGAAGTCCCCAAGAAGACATCCTGGCAGGGTTACTCTTTTCTTGTAGCACTAGGCAGATTGGGTCATATCTCTGTGCTGATATCCTCATCCTCCTGTACCAGACTGTAAACTCCAGGAGGGCAGGGACTCTGAATATGTGTGTCTCTTAAACACAAGGCCTGGAACATTGCATCATTTGCTGACTGAGTATTCCTGGGCTATTTGGGGGCATCTGCTTTTCATAGCTCCCCACAGGGGGTTGCTGCAGTCATCCCAACTGCTTTGTTCAGATGGAAATTTTCTGGTATCTGTAATTAACTGCTTTCTGCTGCACTGAATTCCTGAGTCTAGGTCCTCTTCCGAGAAAGACTTTTCCCCTTGATTCTTGGGAAAGTCCAACTCATTCTTAAAAGCCAGTGTCTGTGTTCCCTGGTCCTTGCCCTACAGAAATCACTTACTTTTCTATAGCATATTGTATATCACGTGTTTACTGTGAGACATAACAGCATTATACAGTCTGTGTGTACCTGCCTTTTTCCATTAGCTCCTCTTTGGATCCTTGGCTGGGTCACTTCTTAGCTGTTGATTTAGGGCAAATAACTTCAGCTCTCTGAGCCTGTGTCCATCTAAAAACTGGTTTACTTCCCTGGTAAGGTATACTTCCATGCCTAGTGGCATGGATGAGACCTCTGTGAGAGCAGCTCAGAGTCTGTGTAGACATTCATTTCATCCTCAGAAAAGTGTCTCTTTCCTGAGCCTGTTCTGTCACCTGTTCTCCCTTGGTCCCCTAATGGCCTTTGCCTGAGTTACACTGGCCTGAGACCTCACACAGTCAAAGCCGGGTTCTTGTAGGGAGCCCACCCTGCCTTTTTTTAGGTATTAGAGCCCTTCAGCACAGACCTTGAGCCTAGTAGAGGTTAGGACAGCCAGATTGGTGGTCTAATTACTGTTTGTCCAGGAGATCCTGGCTTTGGTTGGTTCTGGGCACCGTGTCTCAGCTGCCTCTGCTCACAGGCACAGACACACAACCGTGCACTTGTTCTGTCACCTCTGTGAGTCTTGCCCATTGCATCATGGAGGCCCAGGCAGCAGCACTGACCCCCACACTGTTCTTTTCCCATCTGTGTTTCAGGGAACAATGGCGGCTAACTGTGTCCTCCTGCACACTGGGCAGAAGATGCCCCTGATTGGATTGGGCACCTGGAAGAGCCAGTCTGGTGAGGTGAGGGATGAGGGAAGAGGAGGAGGGCCTCTTAAGTTTTTGCTCAAGAAAAGGCAGTGTTTGGGAGAGGGTCCCTTCATTTTCCCCAGCGGTGCCAGCCCTCTGCTCCACTTCAGGTGGGAATGAACTTGGAGGGCAGTGAGAAGAAATAAGGGAAAAAGGAACCAGCAGTGAACCCTTGGCTTTGCCAGCTGACTTTGAGGGGCTGAGGGGCCCGGCTGGACCAAGGGCATGGGGAGGAATCTTTCCTTAACTGGATCAGCACTGAGTGGCAGATGTGGTCCCCTCTTTGCCTGTCTCTAGGCTGACCCTCAGTATGGCACTTATCACCCTGTGCTGTGATCATGTCTCCCTACTGCCCTGGACCCCTGGGCTCCTTGAGGACTAGGTCTCCCTAGTGTTAAGTCCAGAGGGAGGCACACAGCAGGTGTCAGGCATTGATGAAGAATAACTAGGTCAACTGTAGACCAAGGGTTAACAAACTTTCTCTTAAAGAACCAGATGGTTAATAGTTTAGATTTTGCTGGATGGGTTGCAAAATGGGGGTGATTATGTACTAGTAACCATTTAAAAACATGAAAGTCTTTCTTAGCTCAAGGATTGAAAACAAAAGGCAGCTGCTCACTGGAGTTACAGACCCTCTGGTGTAGTAGACCCTGCCAGCCTAAGGGAGCCTGAGAATGGAGATCTGCTTTCCTAGGGTAACACAGCTGCAGATTCAGCTTCCACCCGGGGTGAGGCATCTCATTTTCTTTGCTTTCCTTTCTGTAGCTGCATAGCATCCTAGAGCTGGGGCCTTTGTGCTCCAGGCAGGCACTGATGTGGCCTGGGACAAGTCCAGGATCTAGATGGAGGAGGCACGTGGAGACCAGAGCGAGGGCCAAGACATGGGAGAGGGGCATGGAGCAGCAGGGGGACGGTCAGGGGGAAGGGAATAGTCTGGATATTAGAGCTGCACCTAGTTTGGAATCTTGAGTAGCAAGGGCCTGGCGCCCTTGGTTCTGCCTCTGATGCCATGTTTTAGTCTGTTTTTTAGCATTTTGACTGACCTGTTCTCCTACTTGGTGCCTGCTTTCTTCTCTCCCTGCAGTGGGCCCTGGGCCCAGCTTCCATCTTACTTCTCTGCCTGCCTTCATTTTCTCCCTCACTCATCTCTTCTGTTCACTTGGTGTACAGAGCCTCCTGAGGGTCTCTGTGGGGCCTTGACCTAGGAATTATTAACCTGTGGGTTGTGTTTCCTTAACCAGCTCCTCAGGGCTGGGGACCTGTCTCCATGATCTGTACTTATGTCCTCTGTCAGGGGATCCATCCATCTTTTGAGCATCTAGCTGGGAACATCTTGTTAGTTTTTTTGCTGGGCCCTGATGAGATTGCTTGGGTAGGAAGGAACCTTAGGGGTTAATAGGATAGGGATAAAGGGCTTGGGATCTCAGAAGAGGTTTCTGGTCCTCAAGAACAGTACCATCCTCTGTCTTCTTACCCCTGACTGCAGTGGTATATATCTGCTCCATTCCCCCATCAGTGACCCTCAGGAGGGCAGACTGACAGAGCTGAAACCTCTGCTTCTCTCACTTGGCAGGTAAAAGCTGCTGTTAAGTATGCCCTGAGTGTAGGCTACCGCCACATTGACTGTGCTGCCATCTACGGCAATGAGACTGAGATTGGGGAGGCCCTGAAGGAGGATGTGGGACCCGGCAAGGTGAGAGCTGGGGCTTCAGAGTGGTGGGGTGAAATAGCTCAGAGACTGGGGCTGAGGCTGGAGGGACTTGGTATCAGCTTCTTTTAATTCCTCTCCCGGCGGTGAGGGTGGGTGAGACTGTGTGCCCATGGCTTTTCTCACTGTGGGTCCTGCTCCCTGCACCAGGCAGTGCCTCGGGAGGAGTTGTTTGTGACTTCCAAGCTGTGGAATACTAAGCACCACCCCGAGGATGTGGAGCCTGCCCTGCGGAAGACGCTGGCGGACCTCCAGCTGGAGTATCTGGATCTGTACCTGATGCACTGGCCTTATGCCTTTGAGTGAGCCTTAGGGTCCTTGTCCAGGGAGTCGGGGTTTAAGGACTTTGTTAGTAACTGATCCTGAAGCACAGTAGCAGAGCAAGAGAGGAGCATTCATCTGTGGGAACTCAGGCTTTTCAGGCACGGCAGCTAGGCCTTTAGCTACAGAAAAAGGAGTGTGGCTTCACATGTGTGTCTCCCAGGGTGTGCGTGAGTGGTCCCTCCCACTCTCTCTATTCATCCAGGAAACATACTAGTTTCTGTAGAGCTAGGGTCTGGAGTTACAATAAAGAATAAGCTCCAGCAGAGGGTGTGAGAGGAGCCTCCCACCTGCTCTGCCTTGTCTGGAAGAAGGCTGCAAGAGCATGCATGCAACTCCCTGAGGAGGAAGGGCCTAAGGACTCACCAGGGGAGGTGAGATAGAATCTGTCTAGGGAAAAGAGGAGGGGAAATGGGCATTCCATATAGAATTCTGTATAGAGAATGTGACAATCTGGAAGGGGTGAGAAACCATGTTTGTTTCTCATTCTTGGCCCTTTATCCTTTCTGGGCATGGAGTATGGGACATAGAGTGGCCTGGATGAGCAGGTAAGGCAGAGACATGGCATTTATGCCCACTCTTGGGGGCTGTCTTTCACTTAGGCGGGGAGACAACCTTTTCCCTAAGAATGCTGATGGGACTATCCGCTATGACTCCACCCACTACAAGGAGACTTGGAAGGCTCTGGAGGCACTGGTGGCTAAGGGGCTGGTGCGGGCACTGGGCCTTTCCAACTTCAACAGTCGGCAGATCAATGATGTGCTCAGTGTGGCCTCTGTGCACCCAGCTGTCCTGCAGGTGAGCACAGCAAAGCAGATCATTTGGCTGGGGGTCATGTGTGCAAGAGCATGCATGAGCAGATGATGAGCCTCCTTCATGGACATGCTAATGAGTTGTCAAAAGTGTTGATACAGAAAGCCACTGCATCAAGAAGGGGATTGAAGTGTGGGAAAAGAATGAAATGGACAGTGGAAAATGGAGGGTGAGAAAGTGGACTGAGGCATGTGGGGGGTCAGCAGTGCAGGACTGGTCAAGACATGCATAGTGATGGGTGGTTTCCTGGCTCAGGTGGAATGCCACCCATACCTGGCTCAGAATGAGCTGATTGCCCACTGCCAAGCACGCGGCTTGGAGGTAACTGCTTATAGCCCTCTGGGCTCCTCTGATCGTGCTTGGCGTGATCCTGCCGAACCTGTCCTGCTTGAGGATCCTGTGGTCCTGGCACTGGCTGAAAAGTATGGCCGATCTCCAGCTCAGATTTTGCTCAGGTATGGGCAATCTTGAGGAAAGGTAGAGAGATCAGGGAGAGGCCTCCTGGGATGGGAGGCAAGGGTTGAGAGGTTCCTTACCCAAGTGCCTGGAGGAGGCTGAGAATCTTGCTTTGTGATCTCGGTGGAGGCTACTCTGAGGCATGTTCCCCATTGCAGTGGGGCTTGGGGTCCAGAAGCATAGGGAGGGCTGCATGGAGAGTGAAACAATGCTTGTGAGTACAGAATCCTCTTCCCCATCTATGTCAATCCCCCACCTTAGGTGGCAGGTCCAGAGGAAAGTGATCTGCATCCCCAAGAGTATCACACCTTCCCGTATCCTTCAGAACATCCAGGTACTTAATGATGGGTCCTCTCTTCTTTAGCCCACTGGGACACGGTCTGCCTCCATTCTGCCTGGCTAAGAAGTCAGTGATCTGGAACCCCAACTTCAACTAACAGAGCTGGGTTTTCTGACCCCCCACTCCCCATCCCCAGGTGTTCGACTTCACTTTTAGTGCAGAAGAGATGAAGCAGCTTGGTGCCCTGAACAAAAATTGGCGATACATTGTGCCCATGCTTACGGTGAGTATGTATCATCTTCCCAGAGTCAGGGAATTTGAGATTTGGGGTGGGATTGTGGCCTAAGTCTGGCCTCAACCTTGCTGGTCAGAGAGGAGGCAGGATGTTTTCAGTAGGATTGCTGTCCTGGACACAGTGGGTTCTTTTTCCTTCATTGAGCTCAGGGAAGTAGTGTGGCTCAGGGATAAGGCATACAGCCTGTGAGTCCCAGTCCTGCACCTTGATATCTTGTAACCTAGAACAAGTTATTTAACTTCTCCAAGCCTCAGCTTTCTATCTGAGAAATGATTCCAGTTCCTGGCATATAGCAAGTTCTCAGTAACTGACAGAAATGAGAGGAGCTTGGAAGGCATTCTCAGTCTTGGTAGAGGTTGGGTTGAAGCCTGTTGTACACAGGAAATAAGTAGTTGCTTATTCCAGATGAGACTGTAAACTCTTAGGGGCAGGGGCAGATACAGACCAGGCTAAGGGTTTTGTGCTGGAATGGTATTGACACTGTCTCATTCTTTGAGGCCAGGGCCCCGTCACTGCTAGGTGGCATAGCGCTGTGCACAGGTGATTTCGGGTTCATGAAGATTTCGGGAAAGATGCCCTGTGTCTTTGGAATGTAAACTCCTGCTGATGGAGTCATCTGTCTCTCTCTCTTTCCAGGTGGATGGGAAGAGGGTCCCAAGAGATGCCGGGCACCCTTTGTACCCCTTTAATGACCCATATTAAGACCACAGCTTCCTGACTTTAGCTTTCCAACTATGAGGTCCTGCCATCCCCAGAAAGAGGGACTTAATAAAGCCATTGGAATTTATACCTGTACCACTTGCTTGTCTTATTTGGTCCAACCTGGGATGGAAACTTTCCTTTGGGAATGCCAGACCTAAAGATTCTGGGTGTGACATGCCCTGAGCCCAAACTTAATCTTTCTTGGTTCTGGAAGAACCAGGATGTTGTGGAATTCCATTTCTGCGTTCCCGAATAAGGTGCATTGGCAGAATAGCGCCATCTAGTGGCAGCTCTTAACACTGCATGCTGCCCCAGAGTTGCCTTAACTGAGAATGCCAAAAATTGGTCAACTCAGGATTGAGATCAGGGCGGTGGGAGTCCTATGGTTTTTATGGGCCTGGTTTTTGAGTTTCCACCCCTACCTCAACCTGGTAAGTGCCTAGGTTTAGGAATATGAAGAGCCAAAAAAAATACTTAAATTCAAAAGTGTGGCAATCCTAGCTTGTGCAGTTAGTAAGGATGTGGGGGATAGGCTTTTTTTTTTTTTTTGGGAGAGCAAGGCAGAAGCTTTTATTTAGAGATAAAGTGAGATGACAAGAGCTCCTGGGTCATGCCAAGAGGGGCAAGAGAGTCCCCGGGGTGGTGCATTGTCTATGGTTTTTTATAGACCGTTGAGAGACAAAGGGCTAGGGATGCACACCTGTTAAATTGTCCCAAAATGTTTATCTTTGAAGCTACATTAAGTTACTTACTAGTCTTCCGGGTTACTTACAAGAAATTTACTGCTGATTTTTTCCCAGGATAGCAGTTTACTAGTCTGGGAGCATATCAATCAAGACTGCCATCTTTGCTCCCAAGGTGCGCTGAGTTAGTGTCTGTTTGTTAAAGAGTATGTTAAGAAACTTACTTTTTAACTAATTGGGTTTTAAAATGCAATCTTAGCTTCATGATGAAATCCTTCCTGTTTTTACTATGTTGTTTTGGTCTTGCTTGCTAAACTGCCCAGGTTGCAAATCGCTTGATTAGGGCTGGAGGAAGAAAAGCAGCACCTGGGTAAAGTCAGAAAAATAAGCTGGGTCCCCCAGCAGGCCAAAGCAAATCTCACAATGGATTATCTTGCTTTGTTTTTTTCTGGAGGCCCTCACCCTACTCCATCTAAACCCATGGTCCCTGTCTCATTCCCTCCTCTACAGATGGAGACCCTAGCTACTGCTAGGGAAAGGGGACCTTGGCTGCTTCATGCTGAGAGGGGGGCGCAGCAAAGGGTGCAGTTACATCTCCATCACTGGTCAGTCAAGAGGGTCTTGGAAGATGGGCACTTCTATCTTGGGTTCCATTTCCATCACCATTTGCACTTTTATGGCTTCAAAAGGATTTAGAAAATGAGCTCCATACCATAGTAATCCATGGGACTTCTGGGCTTGACATAGCTTGGACTTGCTTTCAGAGGTCCTGGAGTGAAATCAGAGACATTTTGTGAATAATTTGGAATGTATACACAACACTCAAATTTAATTATAGCACAGGTCCCATCCTGTGCTGCTGTTAAGATGTCTAGTGCCATTCTATTTTGTATAACTGCTTGGTGCATTAGTCTAACTTTAAAATTAAGGCCTTTTGATTAAAATTGGTTATGTGGAGGATAGGCTTTTTCTCTTAGAAACCAGTCAGTGTGCATGGGATACCTGAAGGAGGGAAGGTCAGTCCTAAAATTTACCACTCTGCACATAAGTTCCTATCTTAAGTACTTAATAGTCCCACCAGAGGCCACTGAAGTTTTAGGATTAAAAAAAAATCCCTCTAAACTTGTCACAAAACTCATTTTAGTTTTCTAGTCAAATCATTGCTCTTCATTCAACAGATATTTATTGGCTACTTAATATGGGTGAGGCACAATGTTAGACCCTGGGGATATAGCTTTAACCAAGACACATAGGTCCCTACAGTTTACTTGAGGAGACAGGCTTTAAGTAATTGCATAATTAGTATAATTACAGTTGGAGAAATGTTATGAAAAAGTAGATCGAGAAGCCTGTGATTTAATCAGCTGAGATCTGAAGGATGAATAGGAATTAGTTAAAAGAGGTGAGACTTAAAAGACAAGTAATGACTATAGCATCTTAACTACACTGATGGACAGTGATTGCAATGGGGTGGGTTGGGGGACTTGATAATATGGGTGAATGTTGAAACCACAATGTTGCTCATGTGAAACCTTCATAAGATCGTGTATCTGATAATTTTTAAATAGATAAATAAATAAAGGAGGTGAGAGTGGGAATAGTGTTCCATGCAAATTGGATAGCTTTTGGTGGGATCAGGGGCTGGAGGTGGGGGGAGAAGCCCTGAAACTGAACAAAGGTGTTGGAAAACCTAAAGAAGTCTTGTGTAACAGAAACTTAAAGTGACTGGGGGTAGAATGGCATTAAATAAAGCTGGAAATAGGTAGGGGCCTGGTGGTGGAGGGCCTAGGAGGCTGGGTTAAGATTTTAGTTTTTATCCTGAATGTAGCAGGAAGTCATGGAAGAGTTTTAAGCAAGAATAACAGCATTATTTGCAAAACAGAACTAGTGCAATGGAATGAATGGGTTAGAGGGATAAAAAGTGGATGGAAGGAGGCGTGTTAGAAGTTAGTCTTTTGTGTCCTTTCTACCTAGAACAATATACCCTGAGCCCACTGTGGAGGCTCACACCTATTACTTAAATGTTCAGATTAGTTGTTACTTCCTTTGACATTACCCTGCCCAGGTGGTTTGCCAAATGATTCCATAACTCCTTTACACACTTTTTTTTTTTTTGGTATCATTAATCTACAATTACATGAGGAACATTATGTTTACTAGGTTCCCCCCTTCACCAAGTCCCCTCCACAAACCCCATTACAGTCACTGCCCTTACACACTTTTCATGATCTAAGTTTCTATAGTGATAAGGTAATTTGAATATGAGGTATATTAGTTTGCTAGGGCTGCTATAACAGTACCATGGAGTGGCTTAAACAACAGAAAATTATTTTCTCACAGTACTAGAAGGAAGAAGTCCAAGATCAAAGTCAGTAGGATTAGTTCCTTCTCAGTGTCATGAGGCAAGGATTTGTTCCAGGCCTCTCTCCCTGGCTTGTAGATGGCCATTTTCTCCCTGTGTCTTTACATTGTCTTTCCTCTGTAGCATCTGTGTCTGTATTTCTTATAAGGACACCAGTCACATAGGATTAGGGCCCAACCTAATGACCACATTTTAACTTAGTTTAATGTCATTACTTCTTTAAAGACCTTATCTCCAAATAGTTACATCCTAAAGTACTGGGGATTAGAATTTAAGCATATAAATTTGAGGGGGGGAGGAGACAGTTCAGCCTATATCAGGAAGCAAAAGTTGTTATAACATGGAATTATTTACTAGTAGACAACTTAAAAATTATTTTTGAGTCAATTATCTCACCCTGCTTAACATTAGCATTTCTCTATTGACAGCTTTGTCTCATCACTGGACAGTGCAGTGCATACTGACTGCAAAGTGAAATTGCAAATCTTGGAAAAGATGGAGAGTACTTTATGAAGCCATGAAAGTGATGTTAGGGAATTTGACACACACACCATACCTAAAGCTATTGAGGAGGAGGATGTGACAGTTAACTGAAAAAGAAAATCAATGATGAGGACTCTAGACTTCAAAAGAGGATGTTTAGAATGTCAAATTATTAAGGAAGGCCTTTGGGAAAACCATAAAGTCCTCAAGTGTTTTTGTAAAAAGGATTTATATAAAATGATTATTGATTTTAATAAAGACTGTGGGCTTAGAATTTAAAAATGAGACTTGCCTCTATAAGACTAATATTCCAGAAGGAAGCAAGAGAGTGAGTGCTCATCAGCTAGAGGCTAGCACCACCACATTCCAGTTCCTTATATCAAAATTTTTATACCCAAGTACAATCTAAGATCCTTTTCAGAGACTGCCTTGTGGTATGCAAGGGAGGAGGAACTATCTCACACTTGGAAAAATGAGACCTTGTAGTTCTGTAGGGAAAAGAATGTGAATCATGTGGTCAAAGTTTGGCAAATTTAAGGATACTTGAGAAACAAGACTGATAACATATTTGAAAGAGGATACAGTATTTTTCTAGGAAAAATATGATCTATGAAAGAATCCTGGTAATTGTCCAAACATTAAAGCATTAAAAATATCTTTATTGGTTGAGATGTTAACTTCTAGAATGTTCATTATAAGTTCTGTTGACTTTCCTTCCTCTGTTACCTTACTGTGTGTGTGTATCATCCACACTTTGGCACCTGTATTTCCATGAAGTTATAAATAATGCCCATCCAGATACATATCTTTGTTTTGTTTCTCTACCTCTTGGGCTTTTGACCCCTCAAAGTTTTAGTATGTTGTTTTATACAACACGACAAGCACATGTTGAGCACAAATTTTTGCCAGGATAATTAATCCATTTTAATTCCCTTTAAATCTCATTCCCTTTCATTTCCCTACATTCAGGATCTATTCAAATCAATCAAAGGGTTGTTTCTCAATGGAGTGGGGAAGCAAGACTGTTTAATTTTAGGGATATCCATTTGAATTGACTTTACAGTTTAACAGCTTGTGTTGACTTGCATGTGTTTGACCAATGCAAACATCACTTTGAGCTGTGATTTATGGGGCCAAGATCCATTTGATTCTGCTACCACTGAAATGAGATGATAATTCTATTTGTGAGATCCAGGGTGTCACTTTATGCCATTAAAGCTTTACTATAGTTTTCCAGATACAATAACATGACTTATTCTGGCCAATGAAATGGGAGAAAATGTGTTACATGTTGGCTCCAGTTGAAAGCTTTAAGAGTAAGTATGCATTCCAACACATTCTCTTCCTCTGAAACTGTGACAAGCAATGCTGTGTATTCTTTTTGGTCACTGTTCAGTCAGCTTGAGACCCAGAAAATGACACAGAGCAGAGCCTCAGGCTGCCTGAGATGGACATATAATAGTATGAGTGGAAACTGAACCTTATTGTATGAAGCCATTGATGGTTTGGGACTTCTTGTTACTGCAGCAAAACTTATCCTAATTAGTGCATTAGCTAATAATTTATTTAGGATCTATGCAATGGCATTCATAAGTGAAAGGGGGTCTGTAATTTTATTTTTCATTTTTTCCTATTTTGGAATCAAGACTACATTAGCTTTTCTTGCTATATATATAAATATGTTCTCAACCCACCATCTTTAACTGGGAGTCTTCCTTAGATCTTCCTAACTAAAAATCAGGGTTCTATTACTATTATAGAAAAGTTTTTTTATTTTTTACTGTATCTGGAAATATTTCTTGAAAATTACCTATAAAACCATCTGGGGCACTTTGGGAGATTGGTGGGAAGACTTTGACCACCATTTTCAGTTATTTTATTATTTATTGATCTACTTAGGTTCTGTATTTCTTCTTGTGCCAATTTTGGTACTTTTCTTCTAGGACTATTCAATTAGGTTTTCAAATTTATTAGCATATAATTCTTAAAACCAATTATTTTTAAATTGTGTCTATAGTTGCTATACTTATTTCTTCTGTACTTTTTTTGCATTTGCTATCTCTCTATATATTCTTAAATTGTTTTCCAAAGAACCAGTCTCTAGTTTTATTAACCTTTTATTTCTCTTTTCTCTCTTGATTTCTGCTATATCTTCCTTATGTCTTTCCCTCTTGAGATTTCTCTATTGTACTTTTTCTAAATTTATAAGTTGAATTCTTATGTCAGTTTTTTGTTTTCTGATAAATTAAAAAATTTTTTTTATTAATGTATTATTGATATACATGCTTATGAAGGTTTCACATGAAAAACAATGTGGTTACTACATTCACCTAACTGATAAATTCTTTTTAAAGCTGTAATTCTTCATTAAATACAGCTTTATTTGTGTCCCATGGATTTTGACATGGAGTGTGTTATCATTCACTTCTAAGTGTTTCTTAAGTTCCTTCATGACTTTTTAACCTAAGGGCTATTTATATTATTAATGCTATATATGGTAATTTGCAATGCAATAAAGCTTGGTGGTTGGGGAAGATAGTCTATATGATAAGGATAACAATTCTTTAGAATTTATTGGGGATGTTTTTGCGACCTCATATATGGTCCATTTTTTAAAATAATCTATTATGTTTGAATACAATATCTATTTGCTGTTGTGTATAGTTTTCTTTATATATTCAGTCACTTACGCATGTTAATAGTATTAGTCATGTCTTCAATATTTCTTTTGTCTGCTAGTTGTAATGATGGTTCTGAGAGACGTGTTAAAAATTTCAACTATAATTGTTGGTTTATCTCTATTTATTTTGCAATTCTGGTAGTTGTTGCTTGACATATGATGGATATATCTAAGAAGTTTATTTCTCTCTTACATAGTATTTTGGGAGTAAGCAGCCCAGAATAGGTATGGTGGCTCCAATGCTAGGAACCTAGGCTGCTGCTTCTGTATTACTGCTTTGTCATTTCTGGGGCATTGTCCCAATTGACATGGTCCAACATGGTTTACCACCATGTCTTCTGAAAAACAAGCACCTTGCCTTGATGTCTATGTGGAAGTTGCACACATTGCTTCTGTTCACTTCCCATTGACTTAAATGTCATCATGTTAGCACCTGAGCTACAGAACATCAGCAATTTTTGTTTTTATTCCAGTGGCTGTGAACTAAAGTAAATACATATATAAATAAAAATTAGGTTCTATTACTACTATAGAAGAAGGGTAAAATAGATATTGCGAGTCAACTAGCAGTCTATCAGGTCAACATTTTGTACATAATAATTTGTTTAATCACATCTTTTCAATACCCTTCTTCTACCCTCAGCTTTCACTCAGTTCCACATCATTTTTGTCGTACTCCAGAAAATAAACTTCTAGTCTTCTGTTTGCTTGGGAGAGAATATTTACAGGGTCTAACCACTACTTATAATTTTTCAACATAATCCACTTTTTTTAAAAATTAAGGTATGATTGATACACACTCATATTAAGGTTTCACATGAAAAAACAATGTGGTTACTACATTTACCAATATTAACATGTCTCCACCCATACCCCAATGCAGTAACTGTCCATCAGTGCAGCAAAATTCCACAGATCCACTATGTGCCTTCTCTGTGCTACACTGTTCTCGTGATCCCCCACACCATGTGTACTAAACATAATACCCCTCAATCCCCTTCTCCCTCCCTCCCCACCCACCCACCATCCCACACCCCTCCCCTTTGGTAACCACTAGTTCATTCTTGGAGTCTCTTGAGTATGCTGCTATTTTGTTCCTTCAGTTTTGCTCCACAGATGAGGGAAATCATTTGGCATTTGTCTTTCTCCGCCTGGTTTATTTCACTGAGCATAATGTCCTCCAGCTCCATCCATATTGTTGCAAATGGTAGGATTTGTTTCTTATGGCCAAATAGTATTAGTATTCCATTGTGTATATGTACCACATCTTCTTTATCCATTCATCTACTTATGGACACTTAGGTTGCTTTCATATCTTGGCTATTGTAAAAAGTGCTGCAATAAACATATAACCTAATCCACTTTTTTTAGCTCTATTCTCATCCTCTACTCCTAAATGTACCTGCTGCAATCAGTTCCTGAGCCTCTTGTGGTTCCTATATTATCAGATGTTGCTTCTTGGCTTTTCCTGTTGGGATTCTCCTTTCTTAGTCTGCTAGGTCAGTGACTACTTGTCTGTCTTTTCCAGCTTTTAAAATTTTACTGCTGTTGCTTCCTCTCCCATTCTTTGATATGGGAGTTTACCTTAAAAATTTTTTTTAACTTCCTTTATTGTCATGTAGATGGGCTTCAAAGGGAGTGGACAGAAGTGTCCTAAATCTAGTTAAATGTAATTTATAATTTCCCCCCCAGGATCAAGTCTCACTTATCCTCAGTACTTACTATGAAAACTTGGTTTCTGTTTTAAGTAGATATATTGACTGTAATTTTTTTTTCAGTTCTGCGTATGATTATACTCTGCTTCATTTATTCATTCATTCACTCAACAAGCTCACTTTGGACACCTAGTATGTATCAGACACTGTTGTATGCATTGGGGATTTAGCTGTAAATGACAGAAAAGGTCATACGGAGTCTATATACTTAGCAGGGGGCAACAGTAAAAAAATAATTTTAGATTTTGATTAAGTAAAATGGAAGAAATAAACAATAGGAACATAATTTTGATTGAGTGCCTTCTGAAAGCCTTTTTAGGGAAGTAACACTTGAGATGAGGCCTAAAGGATGAATAGGAGCTAGTCATTCAAAGTATCAGGAGAGCTTTCTAGGAAGTGAGGCAGCAAGTACAAACACCCCTGGATATGAGAAAGGGCTTGGACATTCTGAGGAACAGAAGAGACTGAAGTAGGGGTGTGGTGAAGGAAGGGTAGTAGTATGAGATGAATATGGAGAGATGGATTGGAGCCAAATCATATAGGACCTAAGGGCAGGCAATGATAAGGAACTCAAAATTTATATTAAGGGCAAAATGAAAACCTGTTTATAGAGAGTGACAAGATCTGATTTACATTTAAAAAAGATTTTTCTGGAGAGGGTTAAGCAGAGATCAGGGGCTATGTAGTTGTATAGGCAAGAGATGATGGTGGCTAGGCTTGGATCAGAGTGGTGGTAGTAACAATTAAGAGAAGTGGATGCATTAAAAAAAATATTTTTCCTAAGACTAAGTTTCTCAAAGGTAGGGAACATGTCTTTTACCCTTAGGACCTAGTAGAAGGCCTTGCATATCATAGTTGCTCAGTGAGTATTTAATTATGAGTGGGTCACACAAGTTACTGGTCTGGGTTTCTCAGGCTCTAGCACGGGCTGCAAAGACCCTGGAGAGATCTCCCCTCCCAACCCTCTAGTCATCATGTTACCAGACTGTGGTAGCCATTTAATGAGTGGTTAGCATGGGCCAGGCATAGTGCTGATTGTTGAAGCAAGCATTACCGCTAATTAAATATTAATTTTTCCCCCAAGATCAAGTCCCATTTACCCTCATTACTTACTATGAAAACTTGTTTTCTGTTTTAAGTAGATCCTCAAGGAAAGGATATTAATATTGTCTTCCTTTTACATTTAACTGTAAAAGGTTACATGACTTGTCCCAGGTCACCCAGCTCATAACAGGGGAGCCCATATCCGTTTGCCACAGAAATTGGCATTTTCGGATCCAGTTCCATACCCCCAACAATTTCAACCTGCCTGAAATCTGGAATAAGGGTCCTTCCCAGGAATCGTTTCTGAACTTGAATGGGAATAAAGCCCCTGTTCTGACCACTGTAGACAAGACCATGGTGGAAGGCAATGGTTGATGATCCAGGTGTGAGAAAGTCCAACCACCTCAGCCGGCCAATTATCTTCCACTTAGCCAGTTGTAGGAAGTGAGGCATACTGCTTTCCATAAACGACTTGCAACTTTCTGAACAAGTCACACCTTCCCTGAACCTTGATGTCTATTTCCACCAAATGGGGCTGATAACACCGATCTCACTAGCAGCACTAAGATTAAATGGGACCGCTAACAGTGTTAAAGTGTTTTAAGCACAGTACCCTCACACATACTGGGCCAACGATAAACCGTCGATCTGCGCGGACAAAAAGAGCTGAGGGAGCTAAACCGGATGGCGTCAGCAGATTGGACCAGCCGAAGGGGGCGGGCCCGGAGGGAGGAGCCACCTGCAGCACGGAGCTTTGAATCAGGCGCGGTAGCTTCAGCGGTAGCCAATCCTAGAGCAGCATTTTCATGCGTAAGTTGTTGCGAGGTTCAGAGCCACGCGTCTCTCACCAAGATCCGTTTTAGCCGTTGCTGCTGTACCCGTGCTCATCCGTTACGGCTGAGAGGACGGACAGAAAGTCTTAGTCACCTCTCCTAGTATTCCGGCTGGAAAGAGACTCTAGGTACTCGCTCCAAAAGTGCATTAGAGCACCAGCTTCCCCTTCTGTGGAAGCCAGCGGTCGACACTCAGTCAGGAGTTGTAATACGAAGATTCCAGTTCTTACGCGACTTGCTAGAGAAGCAGGAAGTTGCCTTTTTAGGGGAAAGGCAGACTAAGGAGGACAGGTACCCCCGCAGAGCCAGGCGGCGAGGCCGAGGAGTGTCCTCTGGCCAGAGTGGGGCTAAGTCCTGGCCCTTTAACTTGAGGAGGAGGACCCGGAAGTGGATGGGCGTGGCGAAGGGCCCTGGTATATACGGGGGCCCCAGCCGCGCGGGGTCTCTAATCTGCCATTTTCTGTCTCTGAACAAGTGTCTCGCTCTCCAAATTCCCTCTGTTTTCCTCACAGGCTTTATTCCTCCTGCTGGCCCACCACCTCAGGAGAACGATGGCCGCAGAGTCCAGAGCCACTGCCGCCATCGCCGCGGAGCTGGTTTCCGCCAAGTAAGCGGGACCGTGGAGAGCTTGAGTCTGGCCAGTCCACCGGGAGTGGGTGGTGGACGGGGTCTTCCCGGGAGGGACGGACCGGTGGGCGGGAGGATTTGCCTCTCAATAAACCGTTGCGGTTCGGGGAGGCTCGGAGAGTGGAGAAGGCCTCTTCCTGCAGAGAGCTTCGCGCTTTATCGCTAAAGCTGCTCGGTTGGCGCCCCCTACCCCGTTTTTCGCGGCCGCCATCTTGCCGGGGGCAGCGGCGGCCGTCTCTATCGCCTGCCCCTCTCCTTCCTTCCCCGGCCCGGGGCTATCGGCGAGGAGGCGGGATCACAGCAGGCCGGTCCGCTTTCACGTCCCGGCTGTCACCGCGTTCCTGGCGCGCGCCTCCAGTAGGATTCCTAAACAAGCTGGGTAAAAAAATCCTGAGATTTGGCGCCAAAAAAACCCAAAAAACAAAAACCTACACGAGGAAGGAGGCAGGACCGGTGGCGTTCAGGGGGCGGGGCCCCTCAGGGGGCGGGTTTTTTCGCGCGTGCGTTTGCTTCCCTCTGCCGGCTCACGAGTAGTGGGCGGAGCCCTCGGGAGGCGGGAAAACTCCATTGTTTGGAGCTGTGCAGCGCCGAGGAGCTTGTTTTTTGCTCACGTGCGCTCCTCTAGCCCCATCCTTAGGCCAGTGGTGGAGAGCGTAGTGACCCTTTAGACTTTGCGAGTGTTGGCGGGAGGTTTGGTTACTTAAGGGTATTTTTATTTTTATCGGTATGCGAAACATCTTCACCTCCGGCTGCGTTGAGCTTTCCTCATTTCCAGCAGTATTTGGTTGCTACGTTAATAGGTAGCAGTATGCGCGAAGTGTAGGACGAATAGAAGGTATGACTGCTTTGAAAACGGCACCGTGCCCCTCAGACTTAAGGTATTGAACAGCGAAAGGAAACAGCCCGTTAATTCGAGGAAGCAAGTGCTTTTTACCTTTTGTAGGGCTGATTCCCAATGTTCCCTTGTTTTTTAGGGGCCTGGATTTATTTTTCCTCCCTTCTCAAGTAATTTAGAAGTCAGAGCAAAGTTGCCGAGAGGTTTATATGATTGACCATTTATAGGCTTACACTTTATAATTGTGTTAGTACATGTACAGTTACCAGAGATATACTCATCTCTACACTACCTAACCCCTTTTTGGGTCGTTTCCTGGTGGGTTTATGTTAAGCAAAAGGGTTCTCAGACCAATCAAAATCACCTAGGATCTCTTGGGAAATAGTAATTTCAAGCTCCATTTTCAGCCTCTTCAGACGTTGATTTGATAGGGTTGAAATAGCTTAGTCTTGGAAGTTGTCTAGTATATGCTTAAAAAAAGAGTTCTTACTTGAGCTTGCTTAGGCCATTTTATCGTGCCGCAGACAATGTTTAGCAGTCATTCTGCTTAGAGGGGACCCTTGCTCTACATACTTAATAAAAGCTATATGTCATTTTAAAGATAAAATTATGCAACAAATATCTAATGCAGATGTTCAGATGTTACCTGTCTAGCCGAAGTTAGGTCACTAGTAAACTGTTTCCAGCTTCCTGGCAGGTAATACACAGAGAAGGTTTATGCATGTGCCTCTAGAAAGAAAAATAAAAGATTAAATTTCTCCTACCTTAAGTTGCAAACTAAAACTGAGCAATTGTAGATATTGAGTTTTTTCTTATCTTTTTATTTGATCCACAAAGTATATACCACAAAGTGTAGTTATCTTCTATAGGTGTGAAAAATCAAAATTAGAATGGAGAAGTAATTTCCAAATTAGTAAGTGGCAGTCTGGGCTAAATCCCAGTATTTCAAGTTTTACTCCCTCATTACCCACTGAAAAGCTTACTGGAGAGGAAATTGCATAAAAACCTAATCTAGTCTGAGAACAGTAAACATAGCATTCAGGTAAGTAAGTTGGTGGGGCTATTCAGAGGTGCAGTGTCTGAGGTGTTTAAAGGAAAGTGTAAAGAAAATGACTTAGACTTCTGTAAGATGTATATTTTAAATGTAGCATAACTATTTCAAGAATAAAAACATGCTATAACTTCCAGACCAGTAGAGAGAAACAAATGCAACAAGAAATGAACCTCCTTTCAGAATTAATTAATTAATTTAATTTTGGTGTCATTAATCTACAATTACATGAGGAACATTGTTTACTAGATTCCCCCCATCACCGAGTCCCCCTTCCCAAACCCCATTAGTCACTGTCCATCAGCATAGTAAGATGATGCAGAATCACTACTCTGTGTTGCACAGCCCTTACCGTGCTACCCCCACATACATGCTAATCATATTTCTCCCTTTCTTCCTCGCCCTTTATCCCTCCCCACGCATCCTCCCCAGTCCCTTTCCCTTTGGTAACTGTTAGTCCATTCTTGGGTTCTGTCAGTCTGCTGCTGTTTTGTTCCTTCAGTTTTTTCTTTGTTCTTATACTCCACAGATGAGTGAAATCATTTGGTACTTGTCTTTCTCCGCCTGGCTTATTTCACTGAGCATAGTACCCTCTAGCTCCATCCATGTTGTTGCAAATGGTAGGATTTGTTTTCTTCTTATGGCTGAATTATATTCCATTGTGTATATGTACCACATCTTCTTTATCCATTCATCTACTGATGGA